GGGTGTGTGTTGATTTAACGGTAAAAAACTGGGCAGTGCCCCCACATTTGGGTGTGTGTTGATTCAACTTAGAAACGATGGGGCATTGTCGGATCGAATTTTTCCTTGTTTTCAACTCTATCAACAGTCCAAAATCACAGTTTCAACAATTATGATGGACTCAGTTTGTTTATAAGCGGATTGAACCTCATTAAAGATCATATCTACTAATTAGTCACGAACTCTTTTTTTAGCTTTTCGGACTCAAAATAGCTAATTCTAAAAAACACTTAAAGACCAGTGTTCTTCCAAAAAGCAATAGAACATAACAACTATAATATTCCTCTATTTACCATACACTTATTTGACAAACCATTAATTTAATCCGCTAGTCACGCCAACTAATACAATCTGTTATTCGTTATCCGCTAATACAATCAGCTATCCACCGGTTAATTGCTTTCATAATTCTCACAAAACCAAGCTCACCATCCAACAAAAGAACTCAAAAGTAATCGAACAACTCACTAAAGTACTCGTTCTATGACCTTCAAAAGCCTCGATTTCAACCAACAATATAATTAATTAACGAAAAAATTAACTAAAATACGAAAAACTCAAACAAACTTGACTACGAACGATCAATCAAAATCAGTGGAGGTCAAAAATACTCAATACTGACTTGAATGAAGGGAAGCTTGGAGGGTACTCTTCCAACGATAGGGCCCATTTCTCGAAACGGAAAATGAACCTTTTCTACAGGGGAGAAACGGGTTTGCGGAGCATCGGCTTAACCGGATCCATGGAGCGGAAACTGGACGTACAACGCCGTAAGCGAAGGGAACAACCATTTGGGATTTTTCTGGTTTCTCCGACTCACAGAGTTGAAATTTTGAAGTTTTTATAGGGATTGATCATTGTTTGTGTTTTGCCCAAAAAGTTTTCGTTATTTACTAAATGGAAGCGAAAGATACGTTTAATTCCAATATGGTCCTACAGAAATTTGGGTATTTTGATATAAGATTGTTGTGTTTGATTATTTGTAATCTATGTCATTAGAATTGTGAATTGGAGTAAGAATTTTAAATTTTATTATATCCAATTTTCTCTCTACAATCTCATTAAAATATTAAAAATTAAAATAAATTATTATTATTCATTTTCAAATAAAAAATATTACTTACCTTACCTATTTTTATTTTCCTTAATATCAATTCGATATGGTTGTATCAAACAGTGTAATGAATCATGTTCTTCTCTGCTTCAACGAAAGGAATCCGAAGATAAATTATCCAACTTAGTCAATGAAATAGTGTGTTATAGTTTCACCTATGTGATACAACATCAAGAACAAAGTGTCAGTTCAGCATAGTATGGTTCAAGAGAGCCCGGCTCGGTTATGCGCTTAGCTTGACTAATCCAAGACTGAGCTTAGATAGCTCGGAGGACGGGAGACCATAAGAACATGTAGTTGGGATGTCGAGAGACCTCCGAACTCGATTATGGGAGAGAGCTCTGATGTGATGAGGTCGGTGAGGTTGAGGTCGAGGAGTCGGCCTCGACATACTCATGGCAAGAAGGTACCAAGGTAGGGATTGCGATCTTTGAGACCTAAGAGTTGTTTGGATGGAGGGAAATAAATTATTTATGAATGAGAAGTGTATATATTCAAAGACTAAGATATGTGAAATCTGGTTAGTTAAGAAAGTAGATTTGCAAGGATCTCTAGCCATACTAAGAGTCACTTAACCACCAAGCAAATCTATTCAGGTTCTTTATTTTACATAATACACATACACAACATGTTTCCATATTGTTATTCTGATTATTCACGGTGCACTTGTGTGTCGAAGTCTCCTCTCGACGTTTTGCAACGTCACCAGAGACGGCGAGTCGGTCCACGCTTGTGGAATCCAGTTCAACCGGTTTAGGGACAACTTGCATCTGAAATTGGCGTCGTCCGTGGAAAGCTCATGCCTTCTTACTTCTTTTCACTTATAGGGCGAAATTTTTTTCTTCGCCGGCACCCATCCCGACATATATTGCAGGTCAATAGAACTTTGGTTGAAAGACGTTCATGACATCACCAGTCTAAAACTGATGCAGCGGAATATACGAAATGGGAATGAAAGATGAACTTTACGCAAACGAAGTGTTTTTCTTATTCTCTGCCCCCATCCATCAGATTACAGAGCATAAATAACAGATAAAAATGTCCTTACTCAAGCCAAATACTGACCAAGTCTACTAGATAAAATAACAACTTAGCTAAATAAAATACTAACTTAAAGAAATAGAAGAAAGCAATAAATATGAAACGGCTAAATAATTTATTTTGGCATCGGAATGCGATCATGCTTCTCCAAAAAGGCTAACGCGAGCTCGTCTTCATCATCCTCCCCCGGTTGAGGAGGATTCGCCCTCGAATCCACCGCGAGCTCGTCTTCTGCCGAATTGTCACCAAGGAAAGGAACCAAGTGTTTCACATTAAAGACATCCGACGTGCGAATATGAGATGGAAGACGTAGGCGATATGCATTGGGGTTGACCTTCTCGAGGACCTCCAACGGGCCAATCTTACGGGCTGCAAGCTTATTATATTCGTGAGCGGAGAAGCGATCCTTCGTCAAAACGGCCCATACGAAATCGCCAACATCAAATTCTACGTGCCGGCGCCGAGCATCCGCGCGCGACTTATAAGCAGCCGTCACCTTCTCCAAATGCGCACGAGCAGATTCATGCACACGCTTCAGGTCCTGGACCATGTCAGCAGCTCGGCGATCCGCCTGCACGGAAGACGGCAGCGCCAATAAGTCCGCTGCACTCCGGGGACGCGTGGCGTAAACCACCTCAAACGGTGACAGCCCGGTGGCACGACTGACGGCGGCATTATGTGCAAACTCCGCTTGGGAAAGGCACTGATCCCAGCACTTCAAGTTTTCGCCAACTAAACAACGGAGCAAATTCCCGAGGGACCTATTAACAACCTCTGTTTGGCCATCCGTTTGAGGATGATATGCACTACTAAAGTCTAAGCGAGTATTAGCGAGACGCCACAAACACTTCCAGAAAAAGCTAAGGAAACGCGTGTCTTGGTCAGAAACTATAGAAGATGGAAGGCCATGTAATCGATATACCTCACGAAAGAACAATTGAGCGACATGAACAGCATCATTCGTCCTCTTGCAAGAAATGAAATGAACCATCTTCGAAAAACGGTCGACCACCACGAAAATCGAGTCGTGGCCCCGCTGAGTACGAGGTAGTTCGAGAACAAAATCCATGCTTATGGCGACCCATGGCTGCGAAGGAACCGGCAAGGGACGGTACAATTCGGCATTTGAAGCCACGCCTTTAGACACATGACACACGCGACAACGCTCAACAAAGCGAGTCACATCCCGGCGTAAAGATTTTTTTTTAATTACAAATATATTAATATCTGATTGTATTTTCAGTTATTTTGGCAACTATTTTGCATGAATTTTGAAATGGTATAGTGAACAAGTACAAAAAAATACATTGCTAAGGTAAAAGACAGTTCTGCAAGTTCAAATTTTCCTTTCAAATTTAGAAGGTTAATATCACCATTTGGTGAATTCCAATTGCAAAGAGTTGTAAATACAATCCTACTTAGCACTTGAAAATTTCGATTTTCGAGCATTTTAGATCTGAAATTTGTCGATATCAGATAACAATTGTATTAGAAAAAATAAAGTACTCTAA